CCTCCCAGCCTGTGTCTGTGCTGGGGGTTCCCCTGACCCACGTGCAGGATCCCCATCCCTGGGCCAGATCTCCTGCTGGTAAGCACAGGCAAATACAGTAAGTCCAACTCTAAATTCTCCCGAAGTTAGCAGCAAAAAAAATGGGATGTGAAACCTGGAGCACAGAACATTGACTTAAACATCCAGCAAACTCATCTGGGCTAGCACTAACCAGATCTTCCTGAGGTATGAAGTGACTTCATCTCTGGTTTCTGTACAGCATCAAATCCTCGCATCTCTCCTGAACACCTTGCCAGAATCATACGACCGCGCTACCAAAGCTGAGCACATGTAGATCAGTTGATACCACTTTTGGGAAAAAGTTGAAACTTTACTCTAGGGAGCTGAAGAATTCTGAATTTTACTAAAAGAAGAGAACAGGAATGTCACTGGGAACATCACAAACTAGATATGTACAGGCACACACTATAAAAATCCTTCAGTATTAAGCTTGCTCAGGTGAAGACAAAACCTTTCACCCCTGTTGTCTATGTCATGCTGTGAATTAAGAAGTCCTTCGTCATAGTTTTGACCCTGGCTGGCAGCAAAACACCAGGCAGCCGCTCGCTCACCTCCCCCCTCCTGGGGATGGGGGAGAGAATTAAAGGGGTGAAGGGAAAAGAGACTCATGGGGTGAGATAAGAACAATTTTATAACTAAACTATGATAAAATTGAAAATAATAATAATGATGACAATAATAGTAATATATACCAATGAGTGACACACAGTGACACTGCTCACCACCCCGTGACCAAGGCTCAGCCTGTTCCTGGCTAATGATCCCAGAGCAGGGAGAGAACCAAAACTACAATCGCAGAACGGAGATAAGAGCCTGAGTGTCCGAGAGAATGAGACAACCCCAAGAGAGAAGCAACCAGAGGGAAATGACCCAAAGCAAGAGAGAGAACTTCCACACAGACCCCCTCTAATGGGATGGAACAGACCATTGGCCAGTTTGGGTCTCAGTCCTAACCCTGAGGCGGAATCCTGGGCTGGTCACTGGGGCTGTGCTCCCTCCCAGCTCCTCCTGCCCCTGCAGACACGGGCACAGCAGAGAAGCTGGAAAGTCCTTGACTGTCCTGGCAGCAGCTCTGCCCATCAGTGTGTGATCAGCTTCTCCTCAGCACAAACCCCAACACAGCCTCACACCAGCTGCTGGGAAGAGAGTGAACTCTGTCCCAGCCCAAACCAGGACATTCTTTAATGAGATGTTGTTTTTCAACAAGAAAGCTGTGCACAGACACCACCACCTACCACCCCCCCAGAAGCAAACCCCGTGGCTGCCGTACCCGCCTTGAGCAGCAGCTTCACACAGTCCAGATGTTCTCTGGCACAGGCCACGTGGAGGGGCGTTCCGAAATGGCAGTCGTGAGCCTCCAGGTTCGCACCGACGTCGATGAGGAGTTGCACACACTCTGAGCTACCTTTAGAAAGGGAAGATCCGAGTCAAAAGAAAGAATCCAGCTCATATGCAAGCACACGGCATGCTGATCCACAAACACCCTGTTTAATTTTTGGGGTAACGTCTGCAAAATAGAAATCCCTGTGAGCCGACACGATACACTGTAGGACCAAGACTGAGATCAGGACACGAGAAACAGAGTCACCTCTGCATGGCACTGAGCTAGAGCCAACTGGTCTTGCAGGGAGTCAGGTCAAACCAACCTCAATTCAAGGGTTTGCACTAAATCGCCTGTTGTTCATGGAGCTGGTCGTATCGCTGATCCTGCCCTGGGTGGATTAGACCACCCTCAAGCCCACTCCAGCTTTCCTTTTTCCAATATTAATAACACAATTTATCAGAAAGCAGGCAGTCATAATCATCAAGCCTTAGGGAAAAGGCTTAATGAGAAAAAGCCAATCAAGAGCTCACAGCTACGTATTTAAGTCACTACCGGTTTGTAAAAAATGCTGTCCCCCACAGCCTTCATAGTGGAAGGGAATTTCTGTCCAGGACAGCATATAACAAAAACAGTGAAGGGGAGGAGAGAGGAAGTACTACATCTTACAAAGAGGAAACTGAGGCACAAAATGATTACGAGATTTGGTCACAATCATCTAACAGGGACATTGCTGCTCTCACATCCAGGCTTTCCTGCGGTTGTGTCCGTGCAAGTGGAAGTTCAGGGGAGGAATTACACTGAAATACCCCTCTGCCGCTCTCCCTGCCTCTGCTGCTGTCACAGCCACCCCCATGCTTGCTCCTGCTCGTAACCCAGATCCAAACTCCCAGAAGAGGCTGGAGTAGGGGACGGGGGGAGCAGAGAGCGGCTGGCACATGGCAGCTGGAACAGTGTTTTGTTTATCTTATAATTCTGTATTTTTCTCTTATGCTTAGTAGTTTTCTCTTGTAGTTCTCTGTGACTTTCTTCTCATCCATCAGCTCTGACCAACCAGGAGGGGTCTGGGACAGGACCACCTGATTAAGACGGTCTCATGTCTTAATCCGAACAATTTATCCCACCTCAACTTGGATCAGAGGGAAAGGAGGCAAACTCCCCTCTGCTCACAAAGAGCAAAGCTACCAGTTGTTTGGCTCGAGGGTTTCTAACAGAGCACCCAGAAGCTGGAGCTTTATCTGCCTCACATCTTATCCCAAGTCCGTCACATGGGATAAAAGCACCCAACACAAGGGATGGCTTTATTCATCTGACACCACAGCGCTTCACCTTCTGCACTCAAAGGGAGCTGTGCCCACGTCAGGCTGATATATTTGCAAGCTGTAACGGTCTGATGAGCAACAACAACTCACTGTCAATTTAAGATACTTGGCAGCTGCTCTTGCTGTTTTATTTTTTTTTTCCAAGCTGCAAACAACCGTGCAGAGATAAGACCACGCAGGCTTACCGTTCATGCAGGCTTCGTGGAGAGGAGAGGCTGTGTAAAGGGGAGGGTTCACCTTGGCACCGTGGGACAGCAGCACTTTCACGCACTCTATGCTACCCGAGGCACAGGCGTCGCAGAGCGGAGTGCTGCCATCGATATTCCTGGCATCCACCTTCAAGGCAGAAAAAAAAAAAAGTTAGGTCCCTGCAAGCTGCTGTGTGGCAGTACCCTCTTGCCTATGTTTTCACTTAACTCTAGAAACAGTCTGGACTCAGGAAAGAGTCGGTTGCTACCGCCAGCAGCCTGGTTTGTGCTGTCCCCATCACTCTCTGGGCACAGACGTACATTAATGTCACGAGTTTAGGTTGTTATTTCCATTGTTATATTTTTCTACCACTTTCCTGCAGAAGGTTAAAAGAACAACACAATTCCTCATCTGTTTCAGTGCCAAGCCCAGCTTCATCAGCAGGCTCAGCCAATGATTCTATGACTCTATGAAATAAAAAAAAATAGAAGAAGAAACAAAAGAATAAATAGAAATCCCCTCTGGAAGCTATGTGTCCCCTGCTCCTCTTCTTGCCCCTTGATTCAACCCAGCTAGCTTCAGATACACGAGTCATCTGAATGAGATTTCTAGTCACCACAGGCTCTGTTGGTAGTCAAGGAGGAGAGAGGGGGAGAGACAGAGAAATTCTTCCAGGCAGTTTTTAAAGTCCTCATCAAGCTCAAATACCCTCTGAAGAACCCTTCCATCCTCTGCTGACTGACCAGAAAGCCCAGGGTCAGAGAATCATAGAATCCCAGGATGGTTTCGGTGGGAAGGGACCTTAAAGTCACCGAGTCCCACCCCCTGCCATGGGCAGGGACACCTCCCACTAGCCCAGGTTGCCCAAAGCCTCATCCAGCCTGGCCTTGAACCCCTCCAGGGATGGGGCATCCACAGCTTCTCTGGGCACCCTGGGCCACTGCCTCACCCCCCGCACAGGAAAACATTTCTTCCCAAGATCTCATCTCCATCTCCCCTCTTCCAGCTCAAACCCGTTCCCCTGGTCCTGTCCCTGCACCCCCTGATCCAGAGCCCCCCCATCTCTCCTGTAGCCCCCTTTCAGCACTGGAAGGTGCTGGAAGGTCTCCCCGGAGCCTTCTCTTCTCCAGGCTGCACACCCCCAACTCTCTCAGCCTGTCCTCGCACGGGAGCTGCTCCAGCCTCGGACCATCTCCGTGGCTCCTCTGGCCCCGCTCCAGCAGCTCCGTGTCTGTCCTGTGCTGAGGACCCCAGAGCTGGGTGCAGCACCCCAGGGGGGGTCTCACCAGAGCGGAGCAGAGGGGGAGCATCACCAGGTGATGAAGGAGACCAAAGAGCCAAACGGGGACAACCCAGATCCCAGAAATAACTTCAGATGATGCTCCCAGCTGGATCAGACCCAAGTACTCACCTGGGCCCCCGCAGCCAGCAGCAGCTTCACACACTGCGTTTGTCCTCGCAGGCTGGCCTCGTGCAAGGGGGTGATGGAGTCGTAGGTGACGGCGTTGACGCAGGCTCCGCTCTCTATCAGCTGCTGCAGCTGCAGGATTTCTCCCCGCCTGGCTGCTTCATGAACTGGTGTTCGGTCTGCCCAGAAGCCTAGAAAAGAATAAATAAGTAAATAAATAAATGTGGAGCAAATGGGTCCCTGTGCCAGAGAAAAGAATATGGGCTGGCAGAATATGCGCTGGCAGCTAGAAGAGAGCTAGGAACAAGAAATGTAGGAGCATCGCCCCTCCTGGCTCCATCAGAATCACTGGAAATGGGACGTCTTCAGGCAAAAACTCATCCCACCTAAAATCTATCTTCCCAGAAAGTCAACGGAGCTTCAACACCAAAATTTCTAGTTTTGACGCCTTCACTGAGCATCTGCACCTACACAGGGCAAGTCTGGGCTTCACCAGCTGACAATATCATCTCCGTTCAGGTGTGTTTTGCTTTCAAGGTAGCAAGGAGGAAAGAACAGCCCCGTGTGTTTTCATGTAACTTTCAGCAAGATAAACGCATCCTTAAAAATAAGTTCCTGGGTATCCTGCTAAAGCAGGAGCACGGTGCTGTTTGCATAAAGGTCAACTCCAAAAACTATTGGCAAACCAGCCCACTTTTTAATACATCTCCATAAGATCCCCATTTTAAGGAAAGAACTGACGGAGAAGGAGAAAAAGGGTGATTTGCATTATTTTTTTAAAAAATAAACATTTTGTCCTGTATTTCGGTAGGACTGACCACCCCTCCCTCGATCCCTAAACACGGCATTTTATTTACCAGCAGAAAGCAGTAAATGCCAACACGAGCCAGCGGTTACAAAAAATGGAGCAGACCCAAAGCAAACCACGATGCTGAGGTGTACGGTGGACTGAAACCACCCCCTGAAAGGGAATCACGAGCACCAGCATTTTCACAGCACACAGGATGTGCTGGTTTTTTGATTTGCTTGTTAAATCCTTGTTCCCTTTGGAAATATCCCTCCGCAGGATTTTTTTCCTTCACTGGAGCTCCTCCTGGTTTATGTCCGAAAAAGCAAAAAGTTAAAATGAGGATGGGGAGCCCTCAAATCACCACCGAGCAGCATCCCTTCGTCACTAACAGGACTGAGAAGAAGAACAAGCTCCAGCAGCATTTCATTAATCATTTTCTATATTCTATTAATATACATATTATTATAA